CAGATTTTCTCCAATGTTTTTGTTTTGCTTATTTTACAAAATTCGAAACTGGTTTGTGAACACATCAGTTATTATTAGTACAAATTTCGTTCGGGCGTACAAGCAGTGCAATATTTTATATTTTATTTGCTGTTATTTAAATTAATTTCCGCAACACTTTTGGATCACAAGCCAATATTATGAAATCTGTTAAGCTTGAAGCTTCTCAAGGCATACCCTTTAAAGATTCCAAAACGTTCTATATGCTCAGATTATTGTGTTCAATATAATAAAATAATATTGTATTGCAAAAAAATACTGAGTACAGGAGAATGAGATTCACGAAACTGGTGATTAAACGAAGAATATAAACGATCTATAAGTAGACTTCTCATCAAAGCTCTCTTTGTGGAATACTAAACCTTCTTTGCGCCACCGAAAAGTTCATTATAAGAATGAATGGACCTGGAGGACTGAGCATCTCAGTAATATAGAATTGCGCTTATTATAATTTAAAAAATTCCTTATTAATGCATACAACTCTTTATATTAGGTTCACTAAATGGGCTTCAATTCATATAATCCCCGAGTTCCTTGCTTTTGAATGTATTCGGCTGCTTTTAAACGTTTTTAAATGACAGCTTGAGTGACTTCCAAAGATTCTGGGATTTCTTCGTATGTTTGGCAACAATCTTTATCGGGTAACACTTTCAGTTCCTCAGCTTCAAACATTTTTGGGCTCTCAGTAGAACATGTTCACCATAAATTTGCATCAAAATACGATGAGTTTCGGCTGAGGATTTCTTCATATCACTCTTCCAAATATAAAGATACGTATTGTGCTCTAATAATTAGATACTAGAGGTATTTTTTATCGAGTTTAGTGGAGCTTGATCCATGGTAAAGTTAAATGAGGAAAAAAAAAGATTGGAATTTTCTTAAACTTTAACAGAAACCTTTCACGACTCTCTTAAATGTTCATTAGTTAAAGCTATAGTTGAGTTAATCGTCACTTCGACCACAATTGCTGCCCTATTTTTACCCAAAAACACAGCAATGGCAATTTAGGAAGATTATATTTGAGACACACATATGTATGTATACATGTACGCATTTTCACTCGTGCCTCATACATGCAATACATAACAATAAACAGTTAAGCACTTCAGTAAATGAATGATTGGAATGATCCGATCTCGCTTGCTGACCGATTCTCTCGATTGCCGGTTAACGCTCTACGCGAACGTCAGTCATGCCAGTGATGACTAATGCTTTTTTTCCACTGATTAATGATTATTTAATAGGCTTATAAACGTATTCGATTCCCTATTGGAATACTAAATGAAAAAGAGTTGAGGCGATCGCTGCTAAAATAGAATGGAATTTAAAATCGAAGAACTTTCATTGTGCTATTTACGGCTAATTAAGCATTTTAGACACACATGTGGTGCATATATAAAACTTAGATTGCATTTAGCTCATGCACATTTTTCTTGCTCTATTTATAGTGGGGAAGCATTGCAACCAAACCTTCGAGTTTCGCAGACTTCGCCGGCATGTCTATTGTACTAATTGCTGGTTCTTTTTACTTAATTTTGTTGCTGTAACTCATTACCCAGATGAACATATTTAGCCACGTAGAAAGTGCTGCGTCTTGTTTGACCATAAGTTTTATATTAATCTATGGTATATTGTTCTTGTGAAAATATGAGGCATTTTCCAAATATTTTAGACTAACTAAAAGAAGCTGCTCATTTGTTAAAAACGCCGACATCAATTTCTTATATTCTTGTATGGAAAACTTTTTTGTTTGAGAAGACATGGAGTTTGGCCTAAGACAGTGCTATAATATCCGAAAAAATTGTTTAGGTCGGACCGCTAAATTATCGGTCCAGTCGAAGTTAGACTTTTTTCTTGTTTTGATAATTAATTCACATTATATTTCAAGGCTTCAGCCTAGTATGCTACCATCGTTCTTCGTAGTTTTTCGGTGAGAGTTTTATTGTTCTTCTTCAGCTTTCGACGCCCCAGTAAAGAAGTAGGGCTCGGACATAATGAGGTTTTTATCTAAAATTAAATTAATTTCCTAACAACATCTTCATGTAAGCTTCGTTATATATTCTGTCAACAACGTTAATTATACCGGCTGGGAATTGTACAAAATATTATTTATCTTCCGCAATGCATTATTCAAGCTTTTGGGGAAGCTTTTCTAAACATATAAACATACATATTTTTTCAGTAAAGAGTAAGCGTATTTCATAGATCATCGTCAGCAATATCGAACATTAATTGGTATTGCTTAGTTTCAAATTTCGTTGTCAAAAATAATATCTCGACTGCAATAATCTTTCTGTGGATTTTTAGTTCAAATCACCGTCAGAAAATCAGAAATTTAGACTATTTTTCTGATATTCAAAAAATTTGATACAAAATTATAAGCACAAGGAGATGTTCGGAAGATGTATACTCCTTAGAGAAATCTAGAAATTATATACATAGGAATTTAGAGTGTCACTCATCATGTTGAGTTCACATTGTGGTTTTGAAAGCTCTTCTATCGAGTTGAGTTTTTGATACAAACTTTGTGGGAATAATTGAGATACCTAGATATAGTTATAAACTAGAAGACGTATTGGTTGATTTGTGTAGGTCACTGAAAGCACTTCTTTGTTGGTAAAAAAATTAATAATTATGACTGTTTGTATATCTTACAACTTTAACTACCTTACTACTTAGAGACATATGTTTATGGTTAGCTATTATTCCTATTATTCAAGGTTACTTCAATTCCAACAAAAAATGTATAATTTGATGAACGCAGCTGCAAAAAGAAAACACAGTTTTATGCATACATATGTATATTTGTGTGTATAAACATAAAATAAATAATGATGACTCGTAAAATATGTATGTATGTACACGATATTATTTAGACTCCGTAGCAGGTGGGCACATTAGCCTCGCATTTTGTTTATAATTACTTATGTACATACATATACATATACATATCTTGTTGGCTCTAACGGTATACCACAATGGCTCGTAAGCACTAAAGACGCTTCGTTACTCGAATCAAACGGAGAGAAGCTGCTTTGTTATGTGCCAGCTTACAGGTTAAAGCTCATTTGCTCTTTTCTATTTGCTTTCTTTTACTACTTCGTTGTTCAATTTAGTCGTTTTTCTGTCTAAGCCTGAGGTCAGCTTAAATTGGGCAAAAATTAGCTGATAATGTGAACTGGAACCGGCGTGAGTGATGATATCAGCATTACAATTGCGGTTAGCTGATGCCACAACAAAAATCACTAAATAAACAAATTAATAAGAAGTGAAGCGATTGTAAGAGTACTTGAAGAATTTCTCTACTACTTTTAGTCATAAGCTGACCACTAAGCGTGGCTTTTGATTAAAAGAAGAAAAGAAAATTCCAAGAAACAAAAAAACCAAGAAATTATAACTGTACATATAATGACTTTTTCTTTGTAAGAAACTGTTCTCAGACTTGTTAAATTAACTGAACTCTTAAAGCGGCTTGATAAGCTACTAATTGCCGACAAGGAACATATGTAGAAGTGCATAGCATTTTCCAATGTTGCCGCCATTTATCGTGTAAAAAGAGTTGAAAAATGTAATGAAAATAAAACTTATTATCCGAGAATCCATTGGAACGGGTCCGTTCTCTTTGGGTTAAAAAGTGTGTATTAATGTACCAAGGGTAGGATTTTTGAGCTTATCTGGTATTAGGTAGTGTGAAATGCTTTCAATTATGTAGATCTATCAGTCAAAAGCTTGCTATAGTGAATCCAACCTCTATTATTCTGGTCTTCCCTATATTCTTATCCCTACTGATCTCTTCAATATTTTTAGAAAGTGTTAAATTCTTTTAAAGTGAAATTACTCTAAAGACTTTGCCGTATCACTGAGAGAATCATAATTTCCATCAATGAGAATAAATCTGACGAACGTCCGGTCACTTGAATGGCTGTTGACTGCAATGTGGCAGTTTTTAGTTTATTTATAAATTTATCAATATTATTCGGAACTGTCCGATAATATTTTTGGTAAATATTCAGCTCTGCCATACATTTTTTTGACAAGTTATACATTTCTTAATAAAGTTAATTTTATTAAACAATGCATATACAATTTTATTCTTAATGGTCCCCTTTGATTTCACACAAGCCCTCAAACCTTTCGGCAATTGATTAGTAGCAGCACGCACAAATTGACGACACTGCTCGAACTAAAGATTTTTTGAGACTCTTCGAATTTCTATAGGACATTCGACAGGCAATGTTTTCCGACTCTGACCCCAAAATGTAGTCCAACGGATTAAAATCTGGACTTCCAGTCGGTCAATTGTCTGGCAGCTATGAAACCAGAAATATTGCTTTTGAGCCATTGCACTGCACACTGGATCACTGCTGGAAGTTCAGTGCTTTCTATCAAAAACAGTATTGCTTAATTGCTTTACCACGCCTTCTAAAACATCTTGCCGGTTTTAACCAATTTTTCACAGAAGTCAAGAGGTATAACGCCTTTAGAGGAGACTCCCCATCAAATGGTGGATGGTGATTACGTTGAACCCATGAAATAAATTTTGTTTTTTTTTTTGCTTATCATTTCACATTTCTTTCATCTGTAAGAAAGATACTTTCATGGCCGTTGACCGCGTGCCACTGTAGACGCCATTACATATGTTTAGCCTAATTTGCTTCAAGCGCGTTGTCAGAAGATGACAACGATTGACCGACGGTAGGTTTTCATGAGGAGATCATCTCGAACAGAATTTATGCCAAGACTGTATTTAGATGAATTTTTATGTCTGAGGTCTATCGGTAAGGTCGGATAAGACATTAAAAAAAAATATATATTTAAACAAAAATCTCGTAACATAGCAAAAGTCGGCTAAACTATAATTTTATACCGTTTCTAATATGTATAGTATCTAACACATATATATGTAGGTATATATATAGTAGTACTGTTCTGATGGCTATGTTCTAACTCTCTTTCTTTAGTGTCAACAAAATAACCACATTGCAACCATTCGAAGACTGCCTAAAACTTCAGGAATTATATTTGCGTAAAAACAATATACAGGATATTAATGAAATCGCATATCTGCAAAACTTACCGGTGCTCAAGTACTTATGGTTGGAAGAGAATCCTTGCTGTGATCGAGTTGGACCCAGGTAAGTTTGGAAAGGAAATTTCTTAATACAAATAGTATAAAAAAACATATTTCTTCCTGTCCATACAGTTATCGCCAAACAGTGCTACGCGCTTTGCCGAATCTCAAGAAGTTAGATAATGTGGAGGTGACGCAAGAGGAGCTCGATGAGGCGTTGCGCGCTGGTGGTAGCGGCAGTGGCAGCGGTGGTACACGCGAGGAAGAAGACGTCTATGAGGATAGCTATGCGCAACAACAACCACCGTCACGTTATGAACAACCATCGCCTCCACAGCAACAACAACAACAACAACAAGCGCAACAAAATCACTACCCGCCACAAAGACAACAACAGCAGCAGCAGCAGCAACAACAACAGGCGTCACAATATCCACATCATCCGTCACCACAACAGTATCAACAACAACAACGACGCAGTTCCAGTCCAATGAAAGAGGTAATTTTATGCTGGTACAAGCTACGGTTGATGCCCCCTAAAGAGGCAATAATACTTGTAGCACCACTACATATAGTCAAACATTACACCAATACATATCGACACTTGTTGCATTCTTCTCAGTCATATTAGTCTACTTATGTACTTGTACTTAAATAGTAGATGTTACAAATTAGAGTAGTTTGGTAACACTGGAATTCACTTTAAAATTTTTAAATTTTTGCGAACTAAAAAATCGAGAATTTATAAAAATCGTAATTGATTAATTTTTAGTGAAATAATATGTAAACATACTAATATATAAGAAATGCAGTGGTGATCAAATAAATAGAAGCATTTATAATATTAATTAAGACACGAAAAAATGGCATTCCTTGCTAGATTTGGATACACCTTCCAATGAGAGACAGACATGCAGGTTTATATATTCAAGCTTGGGGCTCTACAAATATAGTGATTGAAAACATTATAACAATTTTCTAATGGTCCGTGGAAGTTAGTATAATAAAATTTTGATTTTCCCAACAAATTAGATGTTTCGGTATTATTGTATTCATCGATGAAACTTATGTAAGTCTTCACGTCTGATAAACATAGCATTTTCCTACACTTTGTTCCCTATCACTTAGAAGAATTTTTCCTATGGTATAAAATTGTGATTTTACTAGAATAGATCAATTAAGAATCAGAAGAGTTTTCGCAGTCTTTAACGCTACTATTTACCACAAACTAAACTCCTGTTGGTTTCCAAAAATATTTATATAAAATTACGAATTTTCCCATCAGATTATCGATCTTTTAGGACAGTACTAGCACCCACTAAAACAGTCATTGAATTTTTTATAAAGATCTTTAACCCACACATTGACCGACATATTTGGCATAAAGTCTGCTGGAATAACAAAAATATTTATTTGTATTGTAGTATACGGGAGCGTGGACTATATTCAGACATTTTTGGCAGTCAACTATAGTATATCCAATATTACAGGTTTACTTAATTTTGTTTAGATATCTTAGTCTTTCTGTCTTTCGTTAAGATATCTTATGGATTGACCGATATATATGGTATAAAGTTAGGTCGACCGGAAGTTCGAAAATCTATCATTTCTACTTTTTGTAGGTCGACTAGGTCATGAGATTTAATATGGCTTATCAAGCAAGCTATGTAATTAAGTAACTTTTATTATTAGTAACATTAGCGTTTACTCTTGGGCGATATTTTAGAATTGTTCTGTAAATGCCTCAAATTTTGAAAACAGTTCTGAAAATATTTGTATCATTTAGATCATTATATACTGATCGTACCAACATCATATGAGATTTAGTTAGTAAACGACGTAGGATATTATCAATAAATTTTTGTAAAGAATAATTGTTCCTATTATTTAATATATATAAGAAATTAGGGGAAATCGATTTTTTACTATTTTTTACTACTAAAAAACCATAGAAGTTATCATAGAAACAAAATTTATAGATTACAAAAAAAAATTCCGTTCAAAAGTTCTAAATATGTTTTAAAATACTTCTTAAAATGTTTTTATAGTAAATAATATTTTTTAAAATTGGCTGCTTTTTTACCTTATAACTTTTACTAAGTAATCCAGAAAAACTCCATTTAATCCCACTAATAACTAATAAAAATTCTTATTTATGCTAACCAAATGGACTGCTTAATTCCAAACACTGAAATATTCGTTTCGAAACCGAACTAAAATACTAAAAATTAATTAAATAACTGATAATATGTATGTTCACGCGTTCAAAAGCCCTCGACACAAAATAGTCCGGCAAATACTGAGGAAAGCGCCAGCGAGCCAAGCAAAAGCAACGAGGTCTCAAAACCGGCCTCACCCGCACAGGTATTTCGCAAACTAACGGCAATAATTCAATGTAGCTGCTTCTGTTGATAGAATTTAGCGCTTAAAAATTTTATTAAAGTATTTTATGGCATTTCGTAGTTTTTCTTTTTGTTCAATAATCCGTAGTAATTTTTGAGCTAATTTTTTATTTTTTTTTAATATATAGACTTAAAGCTGTTGGTTTTGTTAAGCAATTTCATCAATTCAATAATTTCATCTACAAAAATTTCATTAACAACACAAACTTAATATAATAACAAACTAATTATTTTTCATTTTGCAATTTATATCCTTTTTATCTACTGACACCAATACCACCAACGCACAGGAGCCAGTTGCGCATACACCCTCACCGAAATATAATTCATACACGAACGTGAATCGGTTGTCTTATCATCAATATGATGTAAGAATTTTACGATTGTGGAAAATTACTATATTATTTAAGTTTACAAAATAACAGAGATCTATTGACTATGAGTACTAAGAGTTCTGTTAATATATTAAGGAGTTACATGAGTTTCGTCGAGCAAAAAACGGCCTATTTTCAATTATATTGAAACCCATGTCACTAAGCGTTTGATCGATAACTGTGCATAATATTATAATATATTTTGTATCGCTAATTTTCGAGTATTCAAGTGAAGACAGACCCTTAACGTTGGCAGAATCACAGTTTTTGATGTTAGTTTAGTCAAGATATTGAATAGAACTAATGACTGTATATATTACGCATTCGAAATCTGGATAGCCTTGTTTCAAGAGAACCATATAGTATGTGCAAGAGAAAGCCATAGTAAGTGCGTAGTCGAGTCAAGATCAAGACAAAATCTGATATTACTTTTACTTTGAACTGATGTATAGATGTACGGTGCAATGTAAGACATTTTGTTAGCAGTGATTGTTTTCGGGTATAAAGATTCCAAACTCTGAGACTACTGGTGACCCATTAACCGAGTTGACTCTCAGACCATTTTGGGTTTGAAAAGTTTTGGAAACGTTTTTTAGTAATTTTTGACTTTTAGTTCGATAACTAGAATTGATTTCTCGGGGGAAAGGAGGAGGAAAGGAGGAGGTTAGAATAAATAATTAAATTAAAATATCTGGTTGTTATATTTATAATCTGAGCGGGGTGTATTAAGTTTCTCACATGTCATACAAACTGATAGTTCAAAATTAAGCCCTTGTATGGGAAACTACAAAGCTACAATCTTCGAACATGTTATTCACTGTGAATCGGATCACTGTGGGTAGAAAAAACTAGCAAAATGTTTTCCGTTGGATGTAAACCGTTTGCGTTTTATGTGTTCAGGTTTAGTTATACATATAGTGGCTATAAGAAATGCCCCTGTGAAGGGTATTATAATACGGTGCAGCCGCAGTCAACTTTTTTTCTTGTTTTGATATCGCTTTTCCTACTATTTTTGAAGTGAGTTTGGAAGTTATCCGATAAATGGAGCTAAGTTCATACTTTAAATCGAACTGCCGATGAGTTTTAGCAGAAGTTTGTTTCGCGTTGCTTCTGCCACCGAAGAAAGTCGTCTAGGTCGACCATATCGAAATATCCTAAGCTAAACTGATATAGCAATGAAATAGAGCCTTGGTTAGGATTTTGAACGTGGTTTCATAACGCTCAGTAGAAGTACTTCTAGAAAACTTTTAGTGGTAAGACTGTAGGGATACTAAAAAAACTTCATAGAGTGATTTCACAGTATTTTGGGTTTCGCATCCACTAATCACTAGTTGGCACTAATAACACATTATATATCCCACCAACTCTGTTTCGGCGCCAACCACTGTAAACATTTGTATGAAGAACTGCAGACTAGTTAAGCTGACTAAACGAGTCACGCGAATTTTGGGTTTGCACAGACACAATATCAACACAGCCCCGTCTACCCAAAAATATTATATTTCAAATGCTTATATAACTGTACACAAGCATTTCCATATAAATCTGAAATGACAAAAAGCGGCGAACTCAGTGACATTACCTTATGTAAATTCGGTGTACGAGTATATGGCATCAAAACAAGGTTGGGCTGGGTGTGTTCAAGGAAATGGTGAAATTTGTGCTGAATTAACACATTTCCATGGTCGCCGAAAAGTGGGTTGGGCGAAGACAAATTATGTTTGTATGTGCGCTTAGCGAAGAGGAAATGAACTCATAACTCCGCATTAAGAGTTGTAGAAGCGATGCGGTCATTGTGCTCGTAGTCAAAGGATCCCAGTTTATGTATATTTGTTGGCACATTTCGTTTTATGTATATATGTAAATTGTAATGTATATATGTAATATGTAATGTAAGTTAACTCCAACTTCAACTAACCGTAACTTGTTTGTTATGTAAATTTTGCACTAAAACCACCGTTACATAATCGTTACACAAACTAAAACACACATATGCTCCCTCACACGTCTAATCACCTGGCCTTACGAAAACTAATCTAACACATTGACTTGAATTTTGGTAACAGCAGCGCTCCCCAGGCTCGGACCAGGATAGTCCGCATGTGGGGTATCGGGAACGTGCGCCCATACCGCCTAGCATATCCACACAATCGATGAAGGTAAGTGTAAGTAACTTGAGGTTAAGGAAATATCTCACTGAAATTCGTTGCTCTTTTAAGCTTTAAATCATTAATTTTACTGGTCAGCAATTGTTGTTCGTATTTATTCATTAATCTTTTTTATTTTCATTGTTTGTTATTGTTGTTGGTTTGTATCCCTATATTATCTCTTGCTCAAATGCGTTGCTATTTGATTCCGCCTTCTTTACTTGGCAGGAATACTATCAGTCTGACCGTCCGTCCTATCCTGCCCATTATCGTCACAGCCAAACCGATCTGACCGAGTGGGAGGAGCATCAGCAGCACAATCAATTTGGTAGCACAGCTGCGCTGCAACATGTGGGTGGTCCACGTCGCGGTGACGTCAGCGACCGTTATGCGTATCGAAATGGCAGCGCGCGCGAAAATGGCGGCGATTGGGAGGAAGCGGAACGGCCGCGACCCAGGTAATGCGTTGAGTCATGGCATTTGGTTTTTGTTGTTTGTTGTGTTTATTGTTATAAATTGTTTTCGTAATAGGCGGCCCGATGGACGCTACAGTGACTCTGCCAGCACCGTCTCAACAGCTGTACTTAATCATTATTCGGGCTATCATAGACGTCCCATAAATCGGGTAAGTGTGGAAGTAATGAACACAAATGCTTACTTTTATATTATGTTTATAAGTATGTTAAAACAAAGCACCCTTTATGTTTATTGAAAATACTATTTTTCTTAAAATAATAATATCTTAAATTAGTATTGTATCGTAAATATTTGCAGAAAGACACAGACTTTTCGGATACTTTGACATATATTTAGAAAAAATGTGGAACTAATTTATATGGCATATAGAATATTGTTTGTTAAGAATATAAGAATGGTCTTAATTTTCTTATAAATGTAAACTAATATTAGATAACTTAAGAAAATGCTGCGGTGTGGTGCTATCTCAAGATATGTTTACGAATACTTTCAGAAAGACTAAAAATCTTCAAACCTTTAATATTTCCAGAGTTCCAATTTGTTATCAGCAACGCTGTGTCTCGTCAAGGAGCTGGACTACCCGAGTCTGGAGGTGGTGGAGCATGCAGTGCGTTGTCGTATTGATGAGCTCTCCGCCGATTGATGATGAACGCGCCGCATGCCATCCTACTGAGGGATGCGGCGGCCACAATGAAGCGCCCTACTAGACACTTGCCAGTGGAACTTCGAAACAAAACAACAACAAAGCAAAAATGTAAAACAAAAACGAAAGAACTGAATGGTGTGGACCATCAAGTTGGCTACGAAGAAATGATAAAAGAGACAAGAGCGATGGACTGTTAATACTCACGACCTGATGATGGGCATGACACCATAAATTGGCCACGAAGATTAAACTAATTTAATATATTTCTTGCGATTAACTAAACTTAAGTAATTTTACTAAAATTTTTGGTTTAATATTTTCTTTGTTTAACGGTATTTAACTCGTGCAAAAATGCAATGTAATTAAAGAAATTTGTTGATTTCTAACAAAATTAGTAGTTATGGTTGAAATAGCTAACTTTTGAAAAGTGAAGGTGCAATAATGAAGATGTTGGAATTGTTGAGCGAAATGGTTAAGAAATTCGCTGCCGAAATTTATGTACAATAATGGTTAAATGTAAACGAAATAAGGTTTTAGTACGAAAACTGTAGAAAAAGAGAATAAAAACAAAACAAAATGCAATTGAAACAGACTTGCCAATCAAACACACAGACATACAAATAAACTTAAATAGCATACAAATATATAACTTTTATATAAATTTAAATTTTATTTAAAATTAAAATAATAGAAAAATTGCCAATGGAATTCAACGAACTTTTGAAAACCAACAAAAAAAAAAATAATAATAATAAAAATCTGTATGTATGTAAACATATGTATGTGTAATAGTAAATATGTATAAATAGGCATTTGCTAAAAGTTGAATAAAAAACAGAAATTGTGTGTATTTTGATATTATACAATTTAAGCTAAAATATTTACATACATATAATCAAGAAGAAGCATTTTTCGAGGTGAAAAACTAACAAACAAGGAAAAAGAAAATAATTCAAATAGTTAATATTGCAAAATATTACATATAGACATATGTATATACGATATGTGCATGAGTTGCATTAATTTATTATATGTTGCTTAAAAGTGCTTAGTATACAAAAGACATATGCGTAAACGCTTTGCTGTATTTTACTGTACTTAAACAAATTGTTATTGAACACGCACACATCACAAATATTGAGAAAAGTATAATCCCGATTTTCTTTGAGATTTACGAAATCTCTTCGTTATGCTCTATTAAGAAGAAGTCTTTTAGTCACATTTCGTTTCGTTTTGCTTTTCTTTCACAAAAGACATTACTAAATTTTAACCAATTATTTAATTTAAGAAAAATATTTACTTTAATGTAACGCTTATGACCTCTTGCTAACGTCCTTTTTATGTTTAGATATACTATAACTGAGAAGATTTTTTGTAAACTAACGGCTTCCGGAGAGATGTGAAAACGTAAACAAGTAATAAAAAATACGAAAATTTATTAACATAATTGAATTTTTTATTGAAAAAAATGTATATTATTTGAAAATTTTATACAATCTCGATCTTTCGACTGAAGGATGCTGTTTATATGGTATTTAAGGTTCATTGCGATCAAAATAACGTTTTCACTACTTGGAGTGGACACCAAAATTGTATAAGGATGTGAAATGCTTAAGATCCACTCAAATTTTGTAATTTTACTGATTTACTATTATCGAGTATTCCTTGAATGTAAACTTTTGTTTTTTTTAGCCGTTTTTTTCACTGCAATCATTTAATTGTGTTTTGTTGCAAGAATATGGTTAATTATTTGGGGTATATTGGGTATATACGGTCGGTCAGACAGGCGGAATTGGCTAAATCGACTCAGTTCGTCATGCTGCTCATTTATATATACATGCATCATAGTATCTTTGACGTTTTCATCTGGGTGTTTGGGGCAAACTTAATATTCAGGATATAAAAACAAAAATATAAGCTTATACAGAAATTTGGATACATTAGACGGTTATCTGTCATTTGAGATATGAAACATAGAACAGCTTCAAAAATATTACTTTTAATGATTTAAATATTAATATATTAAAGTAAATAGTATAGTTATATACCTATTTATATGAAATCCTAATTCGTGAAAGAGTTGAATTTTTTAATTAATTCTTTATTATTGTTTTATTCTTATTCATGGCAAACGTATTAGAACAGGTTTATAGAATACACAATTTTTAATCTACAAAGCAATGACCGACCACAATATTTAAGTTGCCGCATATAAAATGATACACTTTCTCGAGTAACCTCCGTACGAAAATCATCCGATAATATGTGAGTAAGTTTGTTGGTTCCGATTTATAAAGTGTTTCATTAAAAGACAATTCCTTCAGAAATGTTAAATATTCAAACTCTCATACAAATAACCCGATCATTTGATCATTCGATTTTATTGGAAGTATTTCTTTGAATTTTTGTTTTTAATCAATTTTAATCGCGCTAATCTCCAGGCCTGTAGCAACGGATGTTCCTGTGAAAAAATATCCATTTCGCTTCTTAAAAGATACAGCTTCAATCAGTTTTCCGGAGTTTTTTCATTATTAAGCCTCGGAAGAATTGCAACCAGCGAATTAGTGGTATGTTTTTATTTTATTTTTAAAATTATGGAGAATTTGGCATCCTATCTATTCCGGTTGTTTCGTAACAAATGCAAACATGTTTAAAGAAGATATGTTTATTATTTCATTCGAATCACCTTGTACTCCACACGAATCCACTCACAATGGTTTGATTATTGACTAAGTATTATAGCATGTCAAATATTATAGTAGTTGAAATGTTAATATAATTTGTCCAATTATAAATTTCATACATTTTTTCATTAAAATTATGGAAGGAATTTTGTTTGAACTATTTCTTTTTTCATACAATTTTTTTTTTATTAAAAAAATATTTTTTTATACATTTTGTCCTGCTTGTTTAAAAGACATTACTGTAGTGTCGTGAAATATACTTTAATAGTGTTATAATGATCCATGTCAAGGTGAAGGAAGAACTACCACTACGCAACATTTCGGTTTGTAACACTTAGAAGGGCCTTATAATATATATATTAGGTCAAGTAAAAAAATTTTTCAAAGATGATAACTTTGTGTACATTTGCCCGATTTAAGTCAAATATGCGCCGTTTTGTTCGTAAACTTAATGCCAACCAGATGCCGACTTCATTATACCAGTCTCGTAGAAGGCTGCGTCCCTATTGGCAAAAAACTCGGATTGCCAATTTTCACAGGCCTCTCTTGAGGCCAACTTCTCACCATTAAGCGCGTTCGTCATGGACAGGAAAAGATGATAATCACTTGGTGCCAGGTCCGGACTATAAGGTGGGTGCATTAGGACCTCCGATCCGAGCTCCAGGAGCTTCTGGCGCGGCACCAAAGACGTGTGTGGCCTGGCGTTGGCCTGATGGAACACAATTCGGCCTCTGTTGATCGAAGATGGCCTCTTCTGGATGAGTGCTGCCTTCAAGCGGCCTAGTTGTTGGCAGTAGAGGGCCGAATTAAGCGTTTGGTCATAGGAGAGCAGCTCGTAGTAGATGATTCCTTGCCAATCCCACCAAACACACAGCAAATCCTTCCTGGCCGTCAATCCGGTCTTGGCCACCGCCTGAGCTGCTTCCTCAAACTTTGACCACGACCGTTTGCACTCGATGTTGTCGTAAGTGACCCATTTTTCATCGCCAGACACAATCATGTTTTTTTGTGTTAGTTCGTGTGGCACCCAAACATCAAGCTTCTTTTTGAATCCAAGGTTATTCAAATGGTTCCAAACGGTTTTCTGGCTTGTCTTTAGTTCCTCAGCAATTAAATAAGTGCTCACGTGATGGTCTGTTTCCACTATTTCCATGATTTTGACGCAATTTTCGCGTCTTTGACAACGAAATTACCGGAACGGAACCTAGCAAACCACTTTTGTGCTACACGTTCGTTTACGGTATCGGGCCCATAAACTAAATTAATTTTTTCAGCCGCTTTGGCTGCTTTTTCGCCTTGATCGAAGAAAAATTGTAAAATATATGGACAATAACGCCATCTCTTAGATAAAAACCGAACTAACTTTTTACTTGACCTAATATTATATAAATTATCAGCATGACGAGCTGAGTCGATCAGCCGCGATTTTGAGATATCGATCTGAAATTTTCCAAAAAGCTGTTCATTTGTCGGATTCGACCATATCGAGTCACACTCCCAAACAAGGTGATCAAATTCAAGTTTGAAATGGAAACTTATGTATTTGTGAACGGTATTATTGCTTCGGTACAACGGAAGTTAACGTTCTTTCTGTTACTACAGCGATTATTCTCTGCTCGGCAATGGAGGAAATTCCTGTCGTGAAAAAGCCTGTATAGAGAATTATTTGTAGGGTAAGAGCAAGGGTTACACCACAAAAAGGAGGAGAAACTCGATCAATCATTTAGCCACCTTGCAATACATAATATATATAATGGTACATACATAGTATATTCGAAATATATAAAGGGGTTGGTCGGGAAATAATATAAATTTGTATAAACAAAACAGTTCATAATTTTATTACTGTCGTTAATTGCTGAAAATTTGCTGGATCAGACCACAACTATATTTGGTGGTCATGACTTTAACGGTGAGAATGAAGTTTTGATACCCTTTAATTTGTATATTTTCTAAATAAAGAGGCAACTGTGCTTTGTCGCTAGCTAAAGATTTTTTCAGCCTCTGTGATATCGAAATAGAATTTCCTTATGAATTATTAAGCAGAAACTCATCCAATCTCTAAATTAGAAGAAAAACGAACCAGTTTTTTTAGTTTTCGTTTAATCATTTATGTATATTTTATTATAATAATTTGTGTTTGTTGTTCTATGGGATTAATGCGTAATGTATGTGCCTCCATAGATACCTAGTACATACATATGCACATCTAGAACACACATATTCACATACATTTAGGGTACTATATGTATGTATGCAGATGGTATTGATATTTTATATATGCCCTTATACATATTCACTTTAGAGTCAACTAAGTGGTAGAACATGATTTTGTTTAGAGATTTTTATTATTTCTAATATTTTGGCTTTCGAATACAATAAGTACATAAACAATAAAATGCAATCTTATTTGGTTTTGTCGATACAATAAATATTTGTATTATTTTCATTTCATTTGAGTTTTTGGCATAAAATACACTTACTGCCCGAATTGTGATACTTATATTTTATATATTATATATATATTTTATATTATATATGTATAATATATATGTATATATAATATATATGTATATATATATATATGTAAATGTATATTAGTAGTTATAATATTTAACAATTTAATTTCAATTTAATGAGTGCAATTTTGAAAGAGTATTTCATGTATAACGGAATTAAATATCGAATTCAGTGCTGATGAAATCTTAAAATGAAAAGAAAAAAATCGAAAAACGAAAAAAAAATATTAAAGAAATAAAACCAAAACAAAAAAAAAATGCCAAAATAAAAAAGTGCTGAAAGTATAAGTTTTCAACTGCGGCTTAATTATTTCTTCGAAAAATAAGTTTTAATGCATATACATTTCTTTTTAAAAAATTTTTAAATTAAATTACATTATATATAATATTAAATAATTTATTATTTATTTAAATTAATATTATTATTAAATTAAATTACATTATATATAATATTAAATAATTTATTAATAATATAACATTATTAATTAAGTTATCTTATTTATTAGTCAATTTTAATGATTACTATTTTTTAATAATTTATTAATAATAATAAAGAGTAATAATAAAAATTGAGTTGTTATACATAATTAAAAAAAAAAAATTAATAATTATAATTATTATTATACCTTTTATCAAATAATTCTTTCTATTTATTCGTTTTATATATTTTTAATATTGCACATTCTCCTCCTGTTTTATGTATGTACATGTGCACTTATGTAAGTGTATCAGTATGTTTATCTTTACTTACTTTTTTTTGTATACCATAATATAACTTTGCGGTACTAATTTCATAGCCCTTAAATAAAACAACGTACATGAATATACTTAAGATATGTGTAAGCAACAATTGCAGCGAAACATTTTGCGAAAATAATGATTTTAATATGAAGTTAATTTAATTGACATATTTGAGTATTTCTCAGTTATTACTTTTAAAGAAATTGAAGCTTTATGCTTAATTTTTATTATAATTATACTAAACTAAAACAATTTAACATAAAATAAAATAAAAAATAATAAAAAGTTAAATTAATTAAAACAAAACTAAACAATAATAAATAAAATAAATAAATGCATGAAATAATTAAAACCAGCATTTTCTTTTAAGTCCTAAAATTAACTTCAATAAAGATACTTTATAAAAAATAGATTTCTTTATTAAAAAAAAAATTCAATAATTTTGCTATGCACTTTAAAAGCTTAAATTTATAATTAAATTTGACTTGCAAGAATTGGTCTTAAAAACTACCACACCCAATTAAATTTTTGGTCAAACGTAAATTGAGGTTAGGTAAATTATTAAGTAAATAACCTCAATTTTCATTTGACTAAAATTTTTATTTTAATATACATATATTTATGTAACTTAAAAATTCTACACAATTATTTGACAAAAATAAATAATAAACTTAAGTTACATAATTAAAAAAACAAAAAAATAATTACTTAACCTAAATTTACTTAAAATCTTTTTTTTTATATATTAAACAATTGTTTTTTAGAAAAATTTGATATTTAAAAATTAGTAAAAAAATAGTTCCAAAAATAGTTTTCAAACATAAATAACGTCACTTTAGTTTTAAAATGTAAATTATTTGAAAGAAATTTAATTATTTATATAATTAATAAATATTTACAAAAATCGTTTTGAGCAAAAAAATTTGTACATAATCTAATTTTATTTTTATTAATTTATAACAAAATATATTTAATAAAAGCTTACACTTTACAAATGTAAATCATTAAAAAATTAAGCTTTGGAACCTAGAACATTTGCTTTGTACTGTTTGGAAAAAAAACTGTATTTTTTATAACAAGCGCAGGTAACTTTAATTATTTGCTTAGGTACTTAACGTTTTTTATGCGTAATATATTTGTATGTAAGTATGAGTGTATGAGTATTTACTTTAGAACACTTTTAGTTTTTAGTTTTTATTTATAAACATAAGAAAATAAAAATAAAAATTATTTGTACATGGATTTTATTTAAACAAATTTTTGGTACTAAAAATTATTATATCTAAAAATATAGAAAAAAATAATTTTTAATTAATATAATACTTGAAAAAATATATATACGAGTATAGCATACATAAAAATTAAAAAATATATACTTTTGATTGAAAATTTTTTGTTTCTTTTTATTGGTGCTACAAAATTACTATATTAGAAAAAATAGAAGTAATAATTTTAAATAAAAAAAATATTTGTTTTTATAATTTTAATTGTTTGCTTAGTTTTTAATTTATTTTTATTTTTATTTATTTATCGTTAAATCAATAATATGAAAATATTAATAAAGAAAAAATATTTGTTACATTTAAATTGTTTGCTTTTTTTTGGTTTAATGGACGAAATATGTTTTACGAAGGAATCTCTAATATTTGCTCAACAAAAATAAATATCTACATATGTATTAGCATGTGTGTTATTTTTTAATTGTTTATATTATTTTGTAGTTGCATTTTCAGCTGAAGCTGTATTAGCGCTTCAACTCCAGCTCCCTGTATGCAGGCGGGGGCTTGTGTGTGTTGTTGGTGGTGGGCGATGATGCTGCATTTCTGGTGCGTGCTGGTGGTTATGGTGCTCTAAATAAATCCACATTTAGTTTGCTTCATTTAAATATTATAAGTTACATTTTCTATACATATTTATATAGATGTATATATGTAAATGTTTTTTTTTTTTTAAATTAATTTTATTTACTCAATTAACAGTCCCAAGCGTATTCATAAAGTTCTGTTCAACTTTGTTTTAATTTTTGTTCAATGCACAATGTGTCATTTCGGCATATTTGTTTGAATATTTCAAATTTTTCTCAAATATACATACATATATATAAGTGCATGTATTTTTGAACATATATATTTTTAATAATTTTAAAATACACACACCTTTACATGAATGAAATATAAATACATACAAACAGCTGTTAATAATTTCATTTAATTAAATAATTTACTACTTTGCTACGGTTTATTTCACTTACAGCACTCACTCAGTCAAATGCAAGTACATGCATACATATGGATATATACCTAAATATGTGTACGTATATTTATTTATATGTATATACTTGCATTTATTCGTGTGTGAGCGCTTACACTGTAAGTTCTTTATACCGTTAGACTAGATGTAATTGACAACGAGGTCGGGGATTTATCTTCACTCCACAAATTTTAGGCATCTCCTTAGCCCTTTTGGCTAATATTTAGCTTAAATACATATTTATTTAGTTTTTGTTGTTGTAAATATGTATATAGCAATTAGTAATGTATAACATTAGATATATGTATTCATATATATATATATGTATTATGTATATAGTATGTATGTGTTTAGCACACAAACGAAACAGTGATTAAAGTCTCAGGCGTACAATAACAACAACAATTGAAAACAGTTAATTAAAATGATTTGATTAATACTTAACAATGTTTACAGCGCGCATTAATATGTATGTATATATGCAGCAAGAATGAATGAATTACATGCATACATAAATACAATAAATGTTTAAAGTGATAATGTATGCGCTGCGCAGGCGCGAACAATATTATTTGTTTTGTTTTTGCTTTGATATGCTTTTACCTTAAAGATAGTTCTTGGTCGATATAGATTTGGCTAAATAATAGTTTTGATTTTTTTTTGGCATTTTTTGTTTGTTTTTTCTTTGTATTCAGTTATTGATTTGGGTTTTGTTGTTTTTTTCTAATTTTCGTTAATTGAACTATGTCGCCGCCTAGTGTGCACTGCCTACAGCCCTGAATGTCTTTAGGACTGCAAGTAGCGCAATTGGCCTACTTAACTGTACATATGTAACTGTAATTGTACAGTCCGTTATTTAAGTTAATTCAGCTTTTTCAGTTCCATCATTCGTTTACAAGTCGTCACCTAATCGATGTATTTCGTCTAACATAAAATCGACATCCTGTTCGGTCACAGCGGCCGATGAGATGATCGAGCGAAAGAAATTTGGTCGTCGATCATCTGGCTGGTAGCCGACCATCAGTGAGCCTTTCTGCATCATGCGACCCTTGATGATGGGGCAGATCTATGAAAGTAGGAAGATACAAAAATATTGATTTATATAATTTAGCCTTAAAATCATATGAAGTTCAAAATAGTACGTATACGACATGGCGTTGATTGTAAGATCAGATATCGGTCCTCAACAAAACTTTCCAAGTATTATGAAAATGAAGGCGAGAAAAATGCAAAAAAGACTTGAGACTTGTGGTGTAGGCTTGGCCCACCTCAGTTAATCCCCTCAAATTCGAATCTAACCTGAGACATTAAGGTCTAACATCATAGCGAGGTGGCATGGTTATACACAGAAACAATATGGATCACATTGTTGGTTAAGTGTCAATCCAGAAAAGAATGTAGGCCGTGGTTTTGAGGTATAAAGATAAATTCGAGATCTAAAAGGGGATCCAAGAGTTTCTTTTTCCTTCTTTATCTATGTACATACGTATATGGCTTCGACTTTAAAACACCGCTACGATATTCCAAGTGAAGGTATGATAACGAAGCTGGGACGTGGAATTCGAAGCGCGTAATATTTCAACGATAACAACAAAGCTTGGAAACAATTATATATGGCAAGGCCCTTGTTATATCATCCCAGCACTGAAGACAGCTTGAAAGAAAAGAACAATATCAAAGATGACTTTACGAGACTTCATCTTATCGATAAAGAAATTTAAACTCGATTCATTTGTTAACTCGACATACTTTCAGGTGACGGATCAATTATTTTGAGAAAGTCTGAAAAAAGATCACCAGCGAAATAGTCAAAATTAGAAATATTGTTCAACCTCATATTGAATGCTCCTGACTTAGTGTTTTGGTCGAGTGATTTCAAGTGCTGGCACAAATACAAGATTTTAAAATATTGCAGTTATTATTCTAGCAGTTCAAATCCACAAGTAGTGCTCGATAAACCTATTAGTCTGAAGCGTATTAGTTCAACAACGAGATTCACTTACACGAAACAGCTTACTTTCGGTCATAAATTATCCTTGAAGTTAACAGCTACAGTTGATATGAAGTGAGAAATTATGATAGGTCAGATCATTATGATAGATAGGTTAATTATATCTATAATGCTGAGGTGCTAAAGTGTGCTATAAAAAATTTAATTTGTATACAAAAACAATAAAAAATTTAATGAGTTGAGTTTAAGGCTTCAGAGTTCAAGGACTCAGAGACTAATGAGTAAAATCTTGTAAATCATTAATAGCATGATTCTCCCTATTTTTCATAACTTCTGTTCAGTGCTGCCAATCTGCGTCTGTTTTTGCAGTTATTAACCAATTTACATAGACATATTAATTAAAACTTATTGCTTACCTTAGCCAATTCAGCTTCCTTCCTCTTATCATGTGGCACACCCCTTAGGCGCTTTGGTATATACCAGAAGGAAACATTTACCAATTCGGGTTCGAGTATCAGATGAAAACGGTCTGGCTGCTCCCGGATACGCTTCACTTGGTATTCAGCAAGCTGCATTAAACGATCCTGTTGACGTTCGAAGCCCTCATTGCCCTTGGAACGCCACTGTAGCCACAATTTGAAGATGTCGTTGTGTCGGCCGCACTGAATGACTTTGTCACCGGTGTCATAGCTGATGTCGTACTGTTTGTCCGTCATGAATAGATATTCGGCTGACATTTGATTACAGCTAATCAATAGACCCTGCGGGTAAGGAGGGGTAAATGCAGCGGATTAGTTGAAGAGTGACATGTGAAGTGTGATGGCTGGAGAGTGAAGCGCGCTAGAGCGGGTAATGGGTGAGTACGAGAATATTGGTTATGTGTGTGTGTGAGTTGAGCTCTCAATATGTGTTTTGTTGTAATCTTCGCAGCAGATTTAGTTCTCACGCATTTAATGCGCTTTTCATGTTGATTCCTTATTTGTAGTTGTAATTGTAATTCTTTTCAAGCTTGTCAGTCTATTTACTTTGGTGATTATGGAAAGTGGACAAACTGGAGTAGACTACTGGAGTAGAATTTTTGAAGTGGGAGCCCTTAATTAAGCTTAGAAGAACTATTTTTTTCGAGAAGGCCTTGCGTATTTCTTGTTAATTTTGAGACTTTATTTTGCCATTAAACTGTCTGTACTTTGTATACCATATATGCTAGCTATACTCAAGTATGCTCTTATATATGGTACTTTTATATACTTACATATAAGTACAAAAGCACCATAAACTCCACATCGTCAGCATGCCAAAAGCACATTTTGTCAATAAGTTAAGTTAAAAATTTAATTAAAATTCCAAAACTGACAGTTTGACTTCGCCGAAACCGGCAATAACTTTCAAAAACAACTGTGACCAAAGCGAGCATATTGCTTGAATGACTTTTGTTGCTGTAGTGTAGCTGTTGCTGCCCATTTCGCTTATTGTACTGTTACAAAAATTTGCTACTAATGGCTTTGGGGGGTGATTTTGTTGGTATTTCATTTAGTTGTATGCACGAAGAATAGAATTCGAATTAGACAGACTCGCATAATATTGAAATTCCAACAACATATATGTATATATGTATATGAAAAATACAAATCATGCTGAAAATTAAAGAGAGAGTTAAAGTCGAATAAGCTATAAGTGAACAGGTTGGAGATTTAAGAAGAATGCAAAACATATTGAAGGAAAACCCTTTTTGCTCCATAAATTTAGATTATCTAAGGAAAAGGCATTGTTATTTTATTTTGATTGGTCAGTTTGTAAGGCAGCTGTATGCTATAGTGGTCTGATGTAAACAATTTGTTCGGAGATTGCAACGTTTCTTTGGACAATAATCTATGTCAAAAGTGATGTCTTGTCAAATAAAATGAAGATATTTTATCAAGTAAAAAAGTTTTCGATACTGGGACTTGATCTAAATCGATCAGTTTTTGTGGCAGCTATATCCCAACGTTAACTTTATCATTTACATCTGACCCTAGTGGCCCTAAGGATAGCAAATGGAGGAAGCTTTAGGGAAGGTATATCATCAAAATTATCTTCTTCTCTAACAACTTAGTACACTAGAGTTAGCAGAGGATCTCAAAATCTCTTATGGATCTACTCAACACATTTAGGTTAATGTTTTGGGATCTAACAGTGTCAATGCTAGATTCGTACCAAAAAATATGAATCATTTGTAAAAACGACGTCGAGTAAAGGTCGCAACAGAGATGCTTGGCAAGGTAGCTGAGCACCCTACATTCATCAAATGCGTCACAAGTGGGCTTATGAAAAGTACGTGAAAATATTGTGTTTTTGTTAGTCCGGACACCGAACGAACTCTGTTTGACATTTTTTATGGACTTTGAAACTGTCAAGCCTGTGTTCTCTCTAACAGATCAAACCTACTCTTTCGTTGGTGACATAAAAAACCAATTGGAATCATCTATTACTTCGTGCAAAGTGCGAAAAATCGAGACAACAGTTAAATGGAGAATATTTTCTTGCCTACTCCTTAATTCCAAATGCTATAGCTTTATGGTGGCTTCTATAGTCTCAGCTATCTCACACACTATCTTTATTCCTTTTTTTGGGTTTCCAATATATTATATAATAATGGATTTTGTTGCATTTAATTTTCGGAGTGGAATTATATGCACGTTTTAGAGAGAGAGCAATACTTAGATAGAGTTAATAATATTGTGCTATTATTACACTTTGCACAGAGTTCGCATATGAGCTCTCAGCAGGCGAAGACAGTGAACTATTCTCTTTGCTAAAGAGTGAGTAGTTGTGCACACTGCTAGTTAGTTTCACCTTATCGACTATGAAGCTAAATTTATGTGTACCGATTGCTTTCTAAGTAAGTAAAAAATATGAAATTTACAAGTTTTTTCATAATTTTTCTTCACTTAGCATCTTCTGTTTAGTATATATACATTTCTCAAAAAGTGTATTTTGTATAAATATGTATGAGTGGATGTCAATGTTTAACCTTGTAAAAAAAATGTACTTACATCCTCCTTGAAATGTATGGTGGAGCATTGCAACAAAGCGCCCATCAATTTATGTGGATTCCAAGTGACCGAGTCGGCTCTAAAGCACGCGTAATTTTATGTATTAAAATAAAAAAAGAGAAAAATCGAAATAAATTATTGCATAATTGGCCGCAACTGTGAACTCATAATTAATTATTAAGTAAATGAAATTAATAAATTTTGTTTGTCACAATTAAATGGCATTCAGCAACAAATTACAAGCAATTAACGCGAGTCCACTGATTTCAGCGCAGACCAGAGAACGCCAAGAGGGATGAGAGCAACCCTCATATACACACTACATTTTGGTGAGACTCGTTGAACGGCCGCAACATTTAATTCAATTCAAACAACACGACAAGGGGGAATGGAAAAAGTTATGTGCTTCTTGACAGGAGTGTGGATGAAGCTGGGTGCAATGTCGCTTAGACTGTGGGCGCGCCTGCTAAACATCCCTCTGGGGGCTATTTACGGTTTGCCACACAGATGCTGCCAGCAATTTCGACACGACTGACGCAATAAACTTTTTACTTGTATATACATACATATGTTACATAGAGAGAACTGTGGCGGCATGGGTCGGTCGTTGGCGGCAGGCAGTCTGCGTCGCAAGGCCGTGATGTTATCTTATTTGTTCAGTAAAACGTAAACACTCGAATGACATTTGCCAGATTTCAATTGCAGCGTTTATACTCGACATAAATCTCGATACACACACTCACATAAATACTACATGTGTATGCCACTGTATGTGTGTCCGTAGTGTGTGTGGCTATATGTTGTGTTCTTGAGGAGGCGTTCGTTGGCACTGGGTTGTAAGTGGCATATGAGTGCTCTTCATCAGGTTCATCAATAAACGTTTTCGTGTGTGGTACTTCGGTTTTTCCCGCCGGAATTGATAGTTATTGATGTGCAGCATATCATTTTGGTGCGATACGAGTATCATTTACTTTTTTATTAACTTTTGGAAAATACTGATATTTTCGGTGGTTAAGAAAGATTAATCGTATATCTATGAAGATTCAATAAATTACAGTCTTAGAATCGAACGCATTTCTCAAAATTGTTGTAATAAGATATCCAAGGTTTTTTGCACCTCGAGGACTTAATTTCAGTTTTGGTAATTACAGAAAAAAAAAACGAATCAGCACTGCGTGTGGACTTCGTATAATTCATAGTGCAGAGTGCTTTAAAATGCTACCGACTGCCAGGATTCTTTCAAAGCAGAGAGCAATGAATATTAGTGAACGCATTGCTCATAACAAGGGGCTGAGATGTGGGACAGTAGCTATGTATGTGTGCTGCATAATTGATATAGTTTGATTTCATTAAACGTTCTCTTTGGCTCTTCAACTCGATCATCAAAACTGTTCTATTATATGGTTGTGATCCGCGATCGCTTACATCAGCGCGCACACGAATCTTCAAACTACCGTCAGTTCGTGCCAACGAATTTCCATCGAGACGACCATTCCATGTAGAAGTTTTGACTGGATTGCCCACACCCTGAAGGGATGTTGACGAAATTTTCTGAGGTACTTTTTAATGGAATCTTCTGTTATGAAAATATCGATGAGCGATACTTACTAATGCTTTCATAAGAGGAAGCAGACCTCTTCAGCTCTGAAAAAAAAACAAATAGAAACGAACTGTTCATATGGTGTTTCGGGACTGACTCAATTAGAAGAAAGAGTAAACGACTTATGCAATATGTGGTACTATGACGTAGTGTACTGACTTAGGTGGCTGTTAGGTCAGAAACAAAGCAGAAAGTACCGGGCATATGATACCCAAACCATATAACCTTCCTTTTTGAAAACATAAATTTAATATATAAAAAAATATGGAATAGATCTTATTAACATCAATATGAACTTCTACACGAAGAAATGCTATGGCTTTCGATACGATCTTCTTAATTAATCTAATTAAGAAAAACTTCTCTTACTTCATAATTTTTTAACAGCAACAGAAAACAAAGATGTATAAATAGGTATTAGTGCGATCAGCTTAATATTTTCAATAAAATACTGCATTAACTAATCAATGAAACTGTCTAAGAAGCTATCATAGACAGAATTTATTGAATTTATATGAAAATTGTGGGTTTTTTAAAATACTGAAACATAATCTAGTATATGATTTTATAATAAATGACTTTGTAAAATAACGTTCGAAGACTTAGAACGCAATATCCTTATGCAGATTTATGAGATGTCGTTTAGGCTGAAAATGCAGAATTAGATTGATTTGGTCACCAAGAAAAAAGAACTGTTTAGAAATAGGTATTTATTTATTTAATCAATTTAATCAATTTAATTTCTCTTATAATCGCGAGTTGAAAATATGAACTGAACAGTAGACCTTGTCCTTATATTCCACTATTTATTTACATCCACATCTTAAAAGACATTCATTAACGAAGTGGGAATACCATTGTTCATTTGATAACAATTTAATGTAAGTATGCACATTCCTATATTCTAAGCATCCACTTAAACACTCCAATCACTAATCCTTTAATGCAAGTGTTGTGTCATATACAGCGCTGAGAACTCACTAACTTTTCAGATTGCGTCAGGTGCACCAGCGGTTGTTGCTGTCGCTGATATTGCATTCAACTACAACAACATCGACAAATTGCAGAATAGATGAGTGATTTGTTCAGTTGTTGTAATCCTTTTGTTTCAAGTTGATGTTTATTGACATTCTTAACGGTAAAATGCACAACAAGAAAGAAGATGTTAAAGCAGAACGCGGGTCGTTCAACATTACGAGAGTACGAGACTAAACAAATACGTAAAATGGATTTTCAACAACCACCCGCTGCCAATGGCGGAGTACTGAAGAAGAAGGGGAAAGCCAAGTGCAAAACGTTCAAAATCGAGCTGCGGAGGAAGGTGACTAGCGTCATGAGCGGCAAGCACATATTGTTGTAATGTAATTGATGGCTTGGGTGGCTGATTTGGCTGGGGTGTTTGTGGATTTATGTTAAATAAGGGCAACACTTTGCAGCCTACATGCAAGTTACTCAAACCCACACACCCATACTCTCATGTACACCCTTACAGAAATCAATTCATAAGGGCTTGCCCCTGTTTTGTGTTGCATGCCGAAAGATTTGAAAGAGGTCTGAGGAATTTTCACTAAAAAAATTTAATTTTCTCTGTATTCGGCGTTGCAGCGGAGCAAAGCTGGCATATCTACGTCATTGGAGTGCCGTAATCTTCTGCAGTGGAATGCAATAAAAACAAACGGTGGACAAATCATTCCACTATTTCCAAGTATTTAATGCATTTCCTCCCATACCCGTTGTCAGTAAAATCGAAGCCTTGTCGGCTTAAGCTAAGCCCACTCCGATAAGGAAGCTGCTACTTCAAACATAACTGTAACTTGAGTAAAATAACTCCATTTCTATTACTCACTTGATCCGTTGCTGTTGTTGGGCGCATTAAAGTCTAGCAGCTTGTGGTGGCGCTGCGGCCTTGCTAATCTTTAAATGGTCTAAGCACTCTCAAATTGATTACCATATCCATCAACGCCCGTTGCGCGCCTAATGCTATGCTTTTAATTTTTTTTAAGGCTTTGTATAAAGTAGCTCTTTCGAGAGTAACCACTAATCTGTCGGCATTTAAGGCCTTCCTTCACTTGCAGCGTTCAATTATGTTAAGTTGCGGTTATGCAACTTCTTAGTTCTTCTTACTGCTGTATGTGGGTATATGTGTATGCATGTGCCTCCTTTTGTTGCAGCGTTGTTTTAATTGATGCTTTGAAAATAATGCCGATGAATTGTATCATTAATGGAGGATACTATGACAAGCAGCAAGCTTCCAACTCGCAATTTGAAGCCAAGCGGAGCGTGTGACATTTGATTAATGGCCGTTCGATGGTACTGACAGGCGGCACCGAAAGCTTTCAATTCAAAGTTGAAGCTTCAAACTCCAAATGGTTGAGGAAGCAGGATTTTTTGTAAATATCATACCCAATTCCAAGTTTAAATTTATTTTAAAATTGTTTAATAAATTTCTTATTTGTTCTGCTGTGACTATTATTCCTTAGAAAAGCTCAGTGAAATGAAACAGAGGCTGTCGAAAAAAGTACACTAATTTTTGTCTTCATATGGGTTCATTCTGCTTGGAACTATTGTCTGTTAATTAATCGGTGGATTTAGCTGACATCACTGGCGTGAATCGTTACCAAGCTAGACTTTAACTACAGTCAGTAAATTAGGAAGTTTCGTCATAATTTCAAGACTCCTGAACAAGTATACAACATGGAATCAAATGGTCCTGAATGTATTGCTCTTACTATTAATTATCCAACCTAGACTATCTGTACTTAGTTTTTACTTGTAACAAGATTATTTTAGAAAACCGGCATGATTATTATTATTATTTACGAATGTTCGATCAGAAAGAAGCAGCGTGTTCTGCTTTAAGAATTAGGGAGTTAGATGATTGAAACTGAAGGATTTATGGACATAGTGATATCCTGAACCAGCCCATAACAAATTTAAACAGATCAGACTTTATGAGGATCTTGTTGACATCTCTCTCTCTTTGTCTCTTTATCTCTCTCTATCCGTATACCAAACTCAGCTAGCATCTTCTAAGGGTAATTACTAGTCATAAAAAAGGCCTTTTTAACTTTATTCAATAACTATTTTACTAGTATATTTATTCAATATATAGTAGTTGAGAGTATACAGAAAGCAACCATACAAACAGATAGCCATGTTGCACTGCGGGCTTTGTCGTCGCCAAACATTAACTACAGAGTAGTCAACAATTGCCCATTGTCAACTCAACTACAGACGTCCAAAATTTGGGTTCCCGGTTACATGAACATTTTCGGCAATGAAAACCCAAACGAGTTGGCTAAGTCAAGAACCTCTCTAGACGAATCCGAAGCAGAGTTAATACCATTTGCGGCAGGAATGATCAAAAGAGAGTCTTATACACAAACTGAAAAAACAGTTTTGCCATATTACAGTTTTTGCCGCAGCTGCAAACAAGTAAGGAATAAGAAAACAGTTTTTCGCTTTCATTGAAAATGTTTAGTTTTATCACAAATCAGATATAGAACACTTGGAATCCATCATCCAAACTTTGACAGGCTGTATACAAAAAAGATAGCAAGAACATAAAGGATAGTGCATCAAAATTGCGAATCTAGCGCTATTTACGACCGGGGAGGCTGCATTCCTACCTGTATCTAAAATGTGAATGTGGTGTAGGGTTTCTTAAGTACTATATGTATATAGATAGATCTACTTTACTTCATGTAATATACTGAGGATAGATAGATCTATATACATATAGTATATCGATTACACCAGCTTCGTCCCGTTATTTTTTTTGGACGGAGTTTTTTACATAATTTTAGTTTAAAAAGGTTATTCGGCAAAAAATGTCATATCTATAATATGTCCTTGTCTTTTCCGAAGATTCTAGTCTTTCGACATCGACATACTTTGGCAATCTATTTTATTCAGAAGGTAACTCGATGTAGGTATACATTTTGGAAATATCTGGCAACGGTATAACAATAAAAAGATTCCGAAGATCTATGAACACGTTTTGAGATCGGTGGTTCAAATCATCGTCGAAGAAAACCTCAAAACGTAGAAAAGCGCTTTACTTTTATGCACTCCTCGCCACGTAATGCCACATTTTCGAGATTTAAACTTAACTCCACGTAATATACTGAGGAAAAACTGACATATGCAAATAATTATTCAAAAAACTCACCGCTCAATGCCCGAGAGACGGGGATGACGATATTTCCGCGACAAAAGCAGACCACCACCCCAAGCAGCCTAAAACAATAAGTAGGAGGAAAAGAAAGAAAAGCAAATACAATTGATAATTATTTTTATGAATTTTCTTAAGCCTTTTTAAAAGTCCCTAGGCACTCACATCTATGTGCAACCAACACTTGTACTTTTGGCAAATATCCGCTATCTGATTGATGTTGTCGAAGGCACCCAACACCGTAGTACCAGCGGTCGCATTGACGAAGAATGGAATGTGACCCTTGGCCTTTCGTTCCAATATCAAACGCTCCAACTCTGAAATAATCATCTTGCCATGCTCATCAGATGGTACCATAACACAGTGATCTGTGCCCAGACCACAAACGGCAGCGCAGGACTTCACCGAATAGTGACATTGATCAGAGGTGAACATCACCAGTTGTCCGGGCAGACCGGCGGCACCGTGTTCCTTGTAGTTGGGGAACATTTTGTGACGTGCCGCAAGGAATGCATACAAATTGGAGATCGAACCACCTGGTGCCAGTATGGAGTCACCACCTTCCCAGCCAATGATTTGACGCATCTTCGAAAGTACCACATTCTCCATTAAAATGAAGACGGGCGCAATCTCATATGTGAACATGTTGGTATTGGCAGTCGCAGTCAACCACTCGCCAGCCATGGAGACGATGTCCAGTCCGCATGACAGCTGATTGAAGAAGTGTGGATGTCCTGTGAAGAAAAGTAGAACAAAAGGAATTGAAAGGATGCTTAAATAGAAGTGGCGTGTTTTGGAGAGAAACAAATGTTTGATCAGAGTTGAGTTGGTTTTCTTAATATGTGTATATGTATGTATGTGGGATAAACGGAAACAAGAAAAACACTTCCGCCCTTGGAAAAACCAAAACAACGACGGAAGGAGATGTTTTAATGAAAATTAATGTAGCGGAATAATTTTCCAGATACATGAAATTGATATTGATTATATTTTTTCTTCACATGTACAACTCTAACAACATAATTTATTCCTCAGTATATTTGTATATTGTCGCTATTCCTTGACAAACACCAGGGACCAGAGAATAATCGAAATAGTGGCCTTTACCGGCCAATCTCTTACGAAGAAGACGAAGACTGTACTATCGGCCGAAAAAGTGACGTCCTCCTTATTTTGGATTCAGATTGGGCGATCTATGTGTGGAATAGGACAAAAGTCACCGAGTCATATTTAGCCAACTGGAGGGTGACGTACCGGCTTACACCTCCGCAGACGCGGAGTCTGACTGACTGAAAACACGTTTTTCAGACGGAATAAAGTAGTTGGAATATCACTGGGCAAGTGTGTCCAGCTGAAAGGAGACAGTGTTTATGTCGGTTAGATCATATTTGATCCCAGGTAGTATTTTCGAGCTCCTAACTCGTTGGGTCTGGTATTTTCTTGCGATGTAAAGCTTATATCTTCTCTGTACATGGTCGCAATGTTTTTAAATATTTATTTAAATAAGAAGCTTCAACTTAAAGAAGCATCGAGTTTTTGCGATTATTCGCGCTTGTCCATCACAACATAGCTTGGCGTAATTATTTGCAGCAGCGGATTGAACGACATGAGACAGGCGGCAGACGACAGGCGATGAGCCTTAAGCTAGCAACAGATGTGCTTGGCAGCTATGTCACAGAATACTCACACCAGTGAGAGAATCGAAACCAAGAGGCCCACTTTGATCAAAAAGAAAAGAGCATTTTTTGCTACTATCCTATGTTATGCTATGTTAAACGTTGAATGCAAGCAAGAAGCGAAAGTAATGCGCTCATTGCTCAGCTAAGACAATGAAATGTCCAGACAGCGAGGAAACAAAAATATATATTAATATTTTACATTGTTTGTAAGTGTTTATGTGTGTCGGTATGTAGAATTCCAGGCTTTTGTGGCTCGTCGGGAAGCACGCTTGAGCGCAGCTCAATACAGTCATATTCGAGGCCGAGGTCGTCGCTGCAAAGGTCGGTCCGACCATGAGCGAACACAGTTTGAGCGAATAGGCGGCAGACATTTGCACATCTGGCGTTTCCGTTAACAAGTCGATACATTTTTTTCTATCGAAATAAAAAGTCTATAGAAAATATGAATAAGGTCGCGGCTGTTGGTAAGCTGTTGGAGAAAGCAAGAGTGAGATACCTCTATTTACCTACGTAGTGTTGGTAGTGCTCTAATTCTAATAAATCACACAAGGGCTCTGCGGCTCTTCGGTTGCTATCAGTGGGTTCATAAATTGCTCATTTATTGTGGCTAATTGCGAATTACAATAACACAACAGCCAAATGGGACGTGGGCGAAGTCCCCACACAGAGTCCACAATGAAATCGCAAATAAATACGTAACAAATACAAAAGTAAACAAAAATACAAACAACAAATAGTAAACAAAGTGCACAGCAATCGCCAGCCGAGGCACACGAACTCGACTCGCCTAACAAGGATGTGCCAAGTGTGAATTCGCCCCACAAGGGGTTGCAGTTTATGTGCGAACCCTTCGTCTTAAGTCGTTGGCTGTTCAATGCCGGGTGCCATAAGTCGTGTGATTAAAAACCCATTGCCTCGAGCTTCGCAGGCGTCATTCATGTCAAACTGCAAATTCATATATATATAGATTCGTATATGTGTGTGGACCAGCTGAGGCCACCAAACGGCATTTCCGCATGGAGTGAATCATTTGTCTTGAAGGGATCAGGTATGATTTAACGAAGGCAAACATTTCAATTTGCACGCGGTGTTGCCGGCAGTGTGTCACAGTTGGCCTAAACTTTCGCTCAGCCAGCGTTGTTGTTGCTGCCACCCTTCGTATTCGCAGCCAGTCATTCATTCGTTCATTGAGCCATTCATTCGCATCAAAGGATCAGCGTGCAGCGAGTCAGAAAATAACAACGGATTTTGATTAAAGCTCTCCTCACACACATATACATATATTTTTATATACAATATTGTGGAGAGAGATATTGAAGTAGTACTCCAATGCATTGTCGTACTGACAGTAGCGCCTGCTTGCTGCCAACTATGAATGAACATCGCTTACAAGTAAGGTATATGTTAGTATGTATCCCATGCGGGTTGAGTATATCTTTGTCATGTCTATATATACTTGTATATCTGTGGATTTCGAAGGACGCATGGGATTGGCAGTAACATATTATGTTGCCAATATGGAGTGCGGAGGATTACGTGGGATTATGGATCATAAATGGGATTTTTATCGCAGTTACGAAATAATAGCAAAAGCATTTTTGCGACCCTGTCTAGGTAGCCGGTTGAGTGGGAAGGTGAGATTTCATGGCATTCATATTAAAGTTAAATGTGAAAGTCATTGAAAAATAGACAAGTAACTGTCGGACTACCGTTATGTGTACAGAGCTGCAGTCAAATCAATTCAACAGAAATTTAACGAGGAACAGACAATTTTAATTATTTTTAAGCTGTTGTGAAACTATAGTCTCTTTATTGGTCATTTTGAAATTTAGTATTTAGTATGCGAGCAGTGATTGCCCAAAACACTAAGTTTACCACATGAAACCATTTTGTGTAACAAAATATGCTAACACGATTGAAAAATTTGACTTTGAAAAATGTGACAGAGTCTTTGAATGTTTTGACAGCTGCGTAATATAAAGTAAAACTCAGTCGTTTTTAAACACAATATCTTAAACCTTAGTCTGTGGCGCAATTTGAACCAGTATTTCAATAGACAAATCCCGAGACTCTGATCATGACTTTGGCATTGCCTGTTGCGCTGCGCCGGTTTTTCGTTTCTACGATATGGAGGAACTACCTCGAGACCTGATTGGCTATTGAATAACTTTATCCTCTTGTCTTGATAAAACCCTATAAATCTGTATTTGACGTTTTGGTTTTAAATAATTTGTCGTTGAGGGATGGAAAGAGGAACCATCGCGTCTTTGCAATCGAAGAAAACTGTGAACAAAACCTTCACATTCGTCATGATTCGTCACCAGTTATGACCCTCTGGAGCAGATATGGGTCGTCACGGACTGAGTCCAACATCTGCTGAGCAATGTCAACGCGCTGCTATTTTTGGTCAGAATTGAGCATTGGCGCATATGATTACCAACATAACCCAATAAAACGATCGAAACAAAAACCCGCGAAAATTTAAAAGTGCCGATACTTTTTGAACAAACTTCGTATTCAGCTCGTTAATCGATGGATGGGTAGTGTTGTGTTGTGTTTTAATAAAATCTAACAGCGCAACCCGTAGCTGTTTGACAGTTCTCAATTCACTAGGACATACATCTGCAAGACTTGTATTGAGAAAAAAGAGTATGCTTTTTGGAGTATTCGATGTTTTGAGTTCAACACGACCTAATACGGTAGATAATTGTAAGGATTTTCTATACTTTTTAATCTTCGGGAATAATTTGACCTAGAAAGTCTTTAGCAGTGCAGCCTAAAAGGTAAATGATTAAAACAATAAAGTGTCGATAAAGGGACAAAAACGAAAATTCACAGTGTTTCGCAGCGATTTCTTACATAAGTAAAAAAGTTTATATCAAAAAAATACATTCCTAACATATATTTTTGTTGATTCACAAGCTTATAAAAAGTCAAACGCCGCTGCTTTGCATAATTGAATTAGTTAGCCAAACAATGGCAGTGCTTATCTGCTGAAGGAATGTTTGAACAGGCGGTCGACAGCAAGCTTAGTGTACTCTTCACCAAAGCTTATGAACCAATCGCTCGTTGCGCAGCACGACAAACACTTTGGCGCTGCTTCTCAGCGAAATTTGTCTCGACATAATATTTGAATAATAATTACCCGCCACTGACAATTTGCATTAGCATATGTTTTGATGCTCTCAATCGCCCAGCACAGCATGGTATCTCTCCTCCGGCGAGTGCGTATTGTGTCACTGGAGACGTGACTGGTTGCGTTGCGGTCGCATTAGGGTAGTTTGCGGTACGACACGAGCACGAATGAACAATGAACAGATAATCAGATCAACGCCGGGCTGATGCTATTTTATGGCCCATTGAATGCAGACTATTAAAATTTACACCTTTCATCTGCAGACATGCGAATATGTTTACAGAAACTCTTTTCACACAGCCATAAAGGATACAAGATTGGGTTTTTCACTAACAAATATTGTGGTTGGCGTAAGTGCCAAATCAATCAAAATCTCCTGCCGCCAAAGGCTTGAAAGCCAAAAGTCGTGTGGCGATGAGAAAATGCCGCACTTTTGCTTGCGTCATGAATGCCACACTGATTCCATTGTGCGCGAGCACTTGTGGCCCGCCCCTTTGAGCACTTCCTAATCGAATTGGCCACGTGACCACAATTGTGTTTGAAGTAGCGATAATAAGCGTATTTATGGCACTACGAAGACGTGGCATGCCACATAGTTGCAAGTAAGTATATGCCGTGGGGACACTTAAACGCAACGTCACATGCCACACCACCGAACCGGATTCGCCTGACTTGTTGCGGAAGTGTCGGCGTTGGCGTTAACTTCCTGCATCTGTGTTTGTTATTGTTTTTGTGTCTAAAACTTTTCAATGAAATCAATTTTGGCTCACTTGTCTGAAGCTATGTAGTTTCAAAATTCAATTAACGCTAAAGAAAATATATTATACAACAAATAAATATTTTTGCTCAATCAGCAGTCGACGTGAGAGGGCGAAACGAGCATAAAGAAGCCAGTAGAGGTATTAATATTCACATGTTCACTTCAATTCTCTGTTATTTATTGTATGTTATATACCGCACTTACTTACCAGTCTTCACTTGATATTTCAGTGTTGTGGCACAATCTTCAATGAGCTGCTGCAAGGTCACAGCTCGATCGGGTATGTCCAAGTTTAGTATCGTCTTCATTTCCTCTGGATGATGGAATTCCAAGATTTTCTCATTGCGATCATTGGTCGCCTTAACAAAGTCCAGTAACACATCGATGACCTTCTGCAGGAACTCTCGGGTCTCAGCAGTGGCGCTGACTGTTGTCGGCAAAAGATCTGGAAAGATAAGATAAATGTGTGGTTTATAAAAAGGAAATTATTCATACACAAGGTTAAGCTTCAAGCTGTTCTTTAAATTTCTAATTTTTTTATTGTAATGCCTAGCTATCATTGGACCACATAAAAATGTGTGAAGAATAAAAAACTTCTAGGTCAGCGTTCAGGTAAGTGTAGCCGTTCAGTTACGATTGCTAGTTAAGAAAACGAAATCTGTCATTCAGCACAATGTTATGGGTTATACTTAAGAAAGAACTGAACATTTTCAAGATTCCTTTAAGGAGGAGGAATCCGAAGAGTTTAAAATCGATCTCTTTAATTGTCTTAATTGATTGGTATATGCTCTAAAAACGTGTTCTCGGAACATATTAAAAGTGATGAACCGATCTTTATTCAGCTTTTATTTTCAACGGCTTAAAAACTACTCTAGATAGACTACGGATATAAACAACAAATTATTTTAGACAACAAATTATTTTAGCTTGAAAATAATTGAACATTTTCACAAAACTAGCCAAGTTTATTTTAAACCTCATTTTCATGATTAATGTTCAAATTTACTGAATATCGTAGTCTATCTAGTATAAAAAAAAACCCTGTCGATAATGTTAGATTTTATGATTTTAGATAAAGGGACCTTTGACGCCAGCACGACACAACTTACGAGAACCACCAGAAACTATTGTTTTTTTTTCCAAAATGTTAAAAATATTTTGTTTTATTCTTTAAACATTGACATGATATCAGTTTAATCGCAACATATTTTTTGTTTAATCGTTTGGAGCAAAGATTACAAGTGGAGAAAACTCTAGTGGTAGCTTAGCTATTTGAATTATTACTCTAATTACTAACACAACACTATCAATATGTTTGACTTCTAAGTTCTTGTAAAAA